AATATAGACAATTTTGTAGAACTCGACGAGCTCTATCGAACTATGTAAAAATACGAACAGAAAGAATGTTACTCGATTTTTAAATTACTCGCATCTTACTCAAACTACTGAAATTTAAAATAACAATATTATTTTGTAGCTTTTTATGTCATTTTTTTCTTAGCATTAAAGTTTGTTTGTTTTTATTGTATTTTATATTCAATGGTTTTTCGCATTAAACAGATGTATATAGATAGTACTTGATCTCTGCTATCCAGCGATAAAAAAAGAATTTTAATTATATTGGGTAGTTTTAATACGCGATTGAAGACAAAATAGTGGGGCCAGACTTATGATCCACACTGTATTTTGATACTTGATACAATCTATATATATGAAAGACATTCTTCATTCAAAATTTTGACCGATAACTTAATCTATTTGTATGTTTTATAGATAATCTTGTCAGATATGGCTGAAGGTGCTAATGAAATTATTGTTGATATGAATCTAAATGCTCGTGAAGGTAATATTGATATTGGTGAAGCTGCTAATGAAGAAATGCATGCTAATCCAAATCCAAATTCAAATTCACAACGAACATATCGTTGGATAAAAACCTCGAAAGTGGAATCATCAAAAAGTATGGCGTGCAATTATAGGTTTCAAGATGGTCGAAGTTGTAAGCACTGTTTTTTAAATTCCTTGAGTCGATAGTAGAGCCTCATAAGACAAGGTTTTCTTGGCTCATGAGAAAGCCTATCCAACTGATAATTTTCATTTCAGCTCATATTTTGCTCATAGGTAGGACTTACATTGTAGATAAAATTCTTAAAGGGAATCGTGCCATTAGGTCTTTCTTTTCGAGTTATAGTCATTCTACTGAATTCTTCGCCTATCGTAGAATATTATGAGAAAAACCTCAACAAGAAATTTCTCTCTTAAAATTTCCTCAATAATATAATTCATGGTTCTTGTTATGGCTCACTCCCAAAACAGATACAACTTTTTCTAATATAATATATTTTAAAAAATGTTCGGCTATTTAAAGCATTTACAGCTATTAAAATCTTGCATATTGATATTTAACTGAGGATGATTGATTCATTGAGCGTTACTTATCGTTTCGAGCAGAGAGAAGGGGCATAAGCAGGAAAATAAAAACGAAACTATCATGATGAAAATATTTAATCATAAGTCAAATCGGCATTATTGAACCTGCAATAAAACAAATCTTATTTTTGAGCATTAATAGCAGATAAAAATTCATATTAAATGGTGATTGAAAATGCTTATCTTCTATATAAAAGAAAACTTTAATATATTTTATATGTATTTTGCGTTTCAGCATAGACGTTTAATGTTTGTATCATGAATTTAAATTCATCTACTGGAAAAAATAAAATTGATTATATGCTTCATACTACTATATATATATATATATACCATGTCTATATTAGTATTTGCCGTATTTCATTCAAACGATCATGACATTTTTTTCAGAACAAAAAAAAAAACAAATAATCATATTACTGCTGAAAAATTTAGCAATTGACTATGTTTACTTTCTTTAAAACGTTTTCTCAAAACCATTTGTTAGATCAAACTTGGTTTTGACTATCCATGTAAACAAAAAAAATTATAGAGCTACAGAGATAAAAAGCCAACAATAATTCATATAATTTTGCTATCATGCATTTTGTTTACATAGTGATCAACAACTCTCGAATGGTACTGTTATATTTTAAAAAACTCTAAATTTTAAATAGCTACCTGCATTGAATAGCTAGCTAAATAAAATAGCTATACAAGTATTTAAATAGGTTTACAAGTGTTTGAATACCTATGATAGATTTAAAAAGCTACGAATATTTTTTAAATTGCTGAATTTTTAATTTAAAAAATTCTCTTTTGATAATCTACGTCTTATTATATTCTGAAAGTTTCAGGTCAAATGAATGGTTCTCTCTCGAGATAATACGATTGGAAAAAAACCACTACTTTCTCACAAAAGTTTCGAAAATAGTACATTTTTGAGAAATCCAATACTTGAAGAAAAATTCATTTGTTTGAGCTGAAACTTTCAGGATATAATAAAGACCATGAATTATATTATTGAAAAAATTTTCAAGCGGTTATTCCTCATTGAGGTTTTTTCATAATATCTCGCTATAGGTGAAGAATTCAGTAGAATGATCATAATTCGATAAGAAAGGCCTAATAGCACGAACTCTCTTAGAGATTTCATCTACCATGTGAGTCTTACGTATGAGCAAAATATGAGCTCAAACAAAAGTTATCAGTTGAATAGGTTCCTTCGTCAAGTCGAAATGAGCAGTATAGAGTCAGACTCATATGTATAAAGTCCAACTGGTGCAATTTTCTGAACGATTCTAGTGTATTTTTGACAGCAATAGATGATCGAAAATAGACCAATATATGTTTTAGGTAGTTGGTTTGATATTGTTGATATCAATTCCAATGGAAAATAAAATTCATATGAATGCCGTCGATGTACTTGTTAACAATGATACAAATTCAACGTATATTAGCAGTAAATCAATTGAAAAAATTGAATCATTATATTGGAGAAATGGTTGGTCTTTCGATATTGTCATGGTATATTTTATTAGAGCAATTTTTCAATTATGTAATTGGATCAAGAAAAAAAAAATTGATCAGCACACATTCAATAAAGTATGTGCATTTGTAAAAGATTTCATAAAATAGTCTCGAAAAAAAAAAGATTGCACGAATATTTAAGGGTTGAAGAAACTAAGATATGAGTGATTGCAGATTAGAGTTCGATTCACAAATTCGTTGCTTTCCAAATTCAAGCACTCATAATATAACTTAAATCTGAAAAGATTAATATAATTTGTAAAACAGTTGCTCATATTCGTAAATCTAGCTGATGAGAGAAGAGAAGTCACAATGCTACTTCTGTGCTCACTTGTTCTGTAATTCACAATCATTCTTAACTGCACGAAATGTAAAATTCGAGTGAAGTTTGTTTTTATTTCATTTTATGACATATGATATAATAGAGACTGACCAGTTGATCATGAATAAATAGGATTATAGGCGACGCATGCTTAAGATTTCAAAACGTACGCATAGTCTGTTTACTCATTTTCAAAATATATTTTTTTTCTTTCGTTGTTTTTCGATGCAAACTCATTTAAAATAGTATTCAAATCAATATCAAAGTTACGTTCAATATTTAATTAAGATAAACTAGATAATCTTTCTTGAACTGTTGTATTTGGAATATATGTTTTAAGTCATCTTGAGGATGAGAAGCTTCATTCATATACACATACACTAGCCGAACTCATCCATGAAATTTTCAGTTAATTATTAATGTCATAAGTTATAGACAAAAACTAACGTATGATGTGAAAGTAATGGGACAGATGTTGGACCCTGTTTCTCTTCGATAGTAAAGGTACTGAAAGAAAACTTTTATCAGCACATAGAGCCTTTTCTTCTCCTTCGAATCATATATAACTTATTTTTATAAGATACTCAAACGAAACGATCAACAGAAAAGAGAAGCACCTTTGAAAAGAATCCGCATGTTTTTCTATAAAAAGATCGCACAAAATGTCTATCGTTATATCTCTTTGATAGATAGATTCTCAAAAGAGTATTTCTTTTATCAGTTGATAAGAAATGTTCCTCTCTTTCGAACAGTATATGATTCTTATTTGTCACATATTAGTTAGTGAAACGAAGCAAGAAAAAAGAGAAACACTCGTGAAATAAATTTATAATTTTTATATGAATTCGTTAAAAATATATTGTAAAACAACAGTTAGTTGTAGTCAACTGTTGTTTACAAAATATTTTTAACGAGTTCATAAAATTCGAAGCAACCATTATTTGACAAGACCTTTTTAATGAATCCACGAAGATCGCATTCACTGTCGTCTGACAAGATGTTTTTGATCAGTTAATATAAAAATTATAAATTTATTTTGTGACTGTTTCCCTTTTTATCTTGTCTGATTTCATTTATGAATGTGCAACAAATATAAATCTTACACTGTTCAGAAGAGGAGAAAATTTTCTGTCAATGGATAAAAAAATATTTGATTCAACAGTTGTTTGTCGAAGAACTATAGGCAACAATATTATGTACTGTTTTCTTGAATCTCACAAAAAGTATGAATTCTTTTTAAGCGTGTTTCTCTTATCTGTTGCGTCGTTTCGTTTATGAATCTCTTATAAAAATAAGTTATATACCATTCGAAAGAGGAGAAAATGCTCTATCTTTTGATTAAAAGGTTTTCTTTAAGTATCCATACTATCAAAGAGAAGCAGGATTCGACATTTGTCCCATTACTTTTTGCATCATATGTTATGTTCTAAAACAATTTTTTTTCACTAATATTTATGTCAATCGATTTTTGTCACTACGTGCTACATTATACATACATTCTTCATTTCTTAATTCACTATAATTCGTACTATAAAAGCCAGCAATTTGGTTTAATTCATCTTCACTTAAAAAGACTTTTGCTAAAAAAAAAAGCTTTTCACATATGATCTTTAATTTAATTATATTTATATTATTTTTATTAGATTTTCCTTTAAATTGATACTATGATGACATCTAATTGTTCATAAAAAGTTTATACTATACGAATCTTTAACATATGCTATGTTCGATACAGTATCACCAGCACCTAAACCTATAGACACTTTTCATTTTCGATGTTCATCAGGCTCATCAATGTTATCTATTACTCAATCATTCATAGTTTAATGCCGAACTCGATTAAATTCTTACGCATTATTTTATTATACTCATTTTCTTTTTTTCTTATTCAATTATATAATGCCAATCAACCTTAAATTTCTTAGCGAGAATAGATTCCAGATGTACATGATGAAAGTGCAACCTCGGGAAAAATAAGATACATCCATAGTACATAAACTTTCGTTTCTCAACTACTGAAATGAGAGAATATTAAGGGAAGCAATAAGCTTTTATTGCTTCCCTTCGTATTTATAACGCGCCGCCTATGAATAGGGTGTGGGTATGAGCGAAATTAATATCCACGCCTTGTTGAAGTGTTATTTCTGTTTTCGTCTTGTTTCTCTTGTCTCTCTTTTTATTGAAAAAAATACAATTTATGTTAATTTGTTTCTTGTTTTAGGAAAATTGGACCAGAACGTTAAATGCATTGTGTCTTCTGATATCGTTTGGTTGGTTACTTTCCAAAGCCGAATTAGTAAATCATCTTTCATGGCCAATTTGTGAATGTGTAAGTTCTTGCATTATTCCTATGTTTCTAATGAGGTTAGAACAATTTTCTGTTAGTTCCGAGTATAAAATTGATTATTGTAAAATTTGAAAAATTTCTATCAGATTCTCTTTCTAGCGTAGCCATTATTGAACTGATAACATTGAAATAGTTATTTTTCATTTGAACAAATCTTTATTCATCTTTTTCGATTGAAAAAAACTTTTGATATCAAATTCGTTGAATGTATGGAATTTTGTTTAATAAATAGTGATACAACTCATTCGATCGTATTGATTTTCATTGTATGCCGATGATCAATTATCGATCATAAGAATGATAGAATTGGTTTCATTGTTTAGCTAGAAATCTGCGAAACTGAAACAGATATTTTAAAAATTGATTGAAAAAAAACTCTTTTATAGAAAAAATTGAACTTTTGTCTTTTTCAAATTCTTGTTTTCATTTTGAATAAGCAATTGAATTTTCTCTATTTAGAATATATACAAGTAAAATATTAAATTTAACAGATGAAAATCAGATGTTTGAAAAAAAAACTAGAAAATGTGTGTGCGCAAACATCTTAATACATGTTCATTGTTTTCCGACTACATTTGTTTTTGTATCATGTTTTATTATCACTACTAACTGTTAGATCCTTATAATTTTCCTCATTTATTGATAATTGTTTACGTAACCGTATCTTTTTAATTTTTTGTACGATCAATTGATGATACATATTTCTATTTAATTTGAAGTACTATTGCTGACAAAAAGTACAACAATGTAGATATGTTTATTTATGTTCTTGTTGATTTACATAATCACAGAAGTAGT